AGGTTGGAGGCGGACCTGAGCAAGGTTGGGTGGGGCAACTGGTGGAGAGTAAGATTTGTGCCTAGCTAGTAGGTCTAGACTTGAAATTTTAAGCCCTGGTTTATACTATAGGTTGGCTTAAAGTGGTTGTAAATCTTTGACATGAAATATGAACAAAGCATATACCTCTACAGTGTGTACTTGTAGTACGCCTTGTAGGGTGTCTCAATCTAGAGCACTAAGTGTAATTTCTGTCTGCTACCTCGTTCCTCTGTTATCTACACAGGTTACATCTGACACGTTTTCTTGTCACTAAGATGTAAAAAGATGACAAGGGAGGGAGCGCCAGCACACAGGCTGTGACTGACAGCCTCAACTCTGCAACGCTGTTCCTATGTGCAGACAGGATGTCCCTTCCCTCCAATCAGCTCTGCCACTGAGCTCTGCATAGTGTAACCTCAGCTCCCTGCCTTCTGAAAGTTCAGCCAAGCTGTATAAATTCCGTGATTAGAGCGGCTGTGGAGAAGAGAAGACTGTAGGTAAACAGTTACAACTTACAGTATGTAGGAGGATTTGTTTCATCTCTGTGTAACACCTGTCAGTCACTTCAATGTGTACATGTAAAGGTTTACAACCACTTTATTGTTTGAAGCTGGCAGTATAACCTATTTGTCTACACTTACTGTGTCCATCAATAGATGATAAAGAGAAGTAAACAAAAGGCACATTATCCACAAATATAACCAAATATTTTGACAGACAGTCTAGCTTTGACATAAATGCCCCTGCGCTTACATCATCACTCCTGCCTGTCCTTACAGCACAAAAATAAAATAGGCTATATGTTTCTTGGTCTGGCACCATACAAATGGCAAATATCATCTTTACATATTTAGCATCACTGCCACTGATGGTCCAGAGTGTGAACAACTAAATCAGTTTAGTGAAGTGTAATTTCAGCCTAAACATTTTAATAAAATAAAAAAAGTATTCAAAAATAAACGGTTATGTGCAGTAGAGTTTACAATCAACATAGGGCCAAAGTTCAATGGTAATCCATTATAATATATTTGCAATGCTTGGTGGGCAACATTGGAATCAACATGTTCACCAAGCACTGCAATGACATTATGAAACTAACAAGCTAACTGGAATTAGACCATAACCTCATGACCTCCAGAAGATTTACCCCCTTCATGACCATGCCATTTTTTGCTTTTTGGTACTACGTTACTTTAACTGAAATTGACTTGTCATGCAACGCTGTACGATGAAATGTATTATTTTTTCTCACAGATTTCCTTTTGGTGGTATTTGATCACCACTGGGTTATTTTTGCACTATAAACAAAAAAAAGACTGACAATTTTAAATAATATAATCTTTTTTTGCTTCTTGCAAACATATCCAATAAAAAAAAAAAAACTAATTTCTTCATACATTTATGCCAGTATGTATTCTGCTACATATTTTTGGCAAAAATCCCAATAAGTGTATATTGATTGCTTTGCACCAAAGTTATAGCATCTACAAACTAAGGTATGTATATACTGGAATTTTTTTTTTTCTTTATACTAGAAATGGCAGTGATCATCAAACTTATAGCGGGACTGCCATAGTATGGCGGCATTCTGACACTTTTTGGGAACCAGTGACACTAATACAGTGATCAGGGCTAAAAAATATACACTGTCACTGTATTAATGACACTGGCTAGGAAGGGGTTAAACATCTACAGTAATCAAAGGGTTAAATGTGTGCCTAACCAGTGTTTGTGTATACTGTGAGGTGCGTTCACTAAGGGATGTGCCATTTTTTTTTCCCTGCTTTGCGGGGAAACAAAAAACGGAACATCCCTGCTGACAGGACAGAGATCTGTATTGTTTACATTGACAGAGCTCTGCCCTGTCTTCCTCCTCACCGATCAGCAAGTGCTGGCAGTCAGTCACTGGCCGGAACCCTCTGACCAGCTTGTGCTGTGACTAATTATAGCACAACCAGTGTGCCCCCTCCCCACAAGTGCCAGATCATGTACTAATTATGTGATCCGGCACAGGAGAGTAGCTCAGCCCCGTACTCCTAGGTGAGGCGGTCGGCAAGCAGTCAGCAAAAAATGAGTTTCTCAGGACTACTGGCATAGTTGTGTTTAAACATGTACATACCCTTGGAGAATTGGTAATAGTACGTCCCAGGTTAGCAGGTAAAAAAAAAAAAAACTTTTTTTTTTATTTCTTATGGGATTTATATTCAACTGTAGGTCATAACAGAATGACACAATCATAAAACAAAACATGACAAAAAGTAAAGAGCTCACACCCCTCAAAACACCAGTGCCACCACCATGCTTCACAGTGGGGATGGTATTCTTGTTGCTATAGGCTTTGTTGACCCCTCTCCAAACATAATACTTATAGTTGTGACCATAGAGCTCTATATTGGTCTCTCCACTCCAGATTACAGTGTGCTAGAAGCTGTGAGACATGTCAAGGTGTTGTCAGGCATATTGTATCAGGGCTTTTTTGTGGAGTTGGCACAGTAAATGTTTCCTTCTGTCAACTCGACCATGCAGCTCATTTTTGTTCAAATATAGTCATACTGTGCTCTTTGAAAGAACAACACCTTCTTTTTGCCTGTATTTCTCCTGGGGTTACCTCTTTGTTTTTCTGTGTATCCCAAACAATTCTTTTGGCAGTTGTGGCTGTAGTCCTTCTTGGTCTACCTGACCTTGGCTTGGTATCAAGAGATCCCTGAATTTTCTACTTCTTAATAAGTGATTAAACGGTACTGACTGGCATATTCAAGGCTTTGGATATCTTTCTATATCCCTTTCCATCTTTATAAAGTTCCAGTACCTTGTTACACAGGTCTTTTGACAGTTCATTTCTGCTCCATATGGCTCAGTATATAGCCTGCTCAGTGCATCCATGTGAGAGCTAACACACTCATTGACTGCTTATACAAACAGTAATTGCAATTTCCCAGATATGTGGGAAATTAATCTTTATTTGCCATTTAAACCTGTGTGTGCCACCCTGTGTGTCTGTACCAAGGCCAAATATTCCAGGATATGTAAACTTTTGATCAGGGCCTTTTGGGTGTTTTCTGTTATAATTATGATTTTAAAAAGGAGCCAAAACCTATGTTATAATTAGAGATGAGCGAAGTATTCAAAAATTCGATTCGACTGATTCGGCGAATTCGTGGAAAAATTTCGATTCGAGTCGAATATATTCGCTGCGAATTTAACTTATAAAAGGGTGTTTCTAGGCTTCAGAGAGCCTTTATATTAGTGCAGAACACTGTACCTTTAATTTAAATGCCCTTGGAGTCTGCTGGGGAAGAGAAATAATACTGACAGTCAGTATGACATGCAGATGAGTGCCGTCGATCTTAGAATCACCGCACACTTCACTCATTTGGGCAGTCACAGGGCCAAAACCAGAGTGTGGAGCCACAGTGTGGCGGTGGAGGCAGCAGCAATGGGAGGCCATACAGCACCCTATGACAAAAATGGAAACCACCAGCAGTGTGAGGAGACCTGAAAGTGGCACATGGCAGAGTGTGGCGATGGAGACAGCAGCAATGGGAGGCCGTACAGGGACCCATGACACACTCTGGACCTGGCAGCAGCATGAGGAGGCGGTACAGGGGCCCATGACAGATTACGGGCCTGGCAGCAGCATGAGGAGTCGGTACGGGGGCCCATGACACACTATGGACCTGGCAGCAGCATGAAGAGGCGGTACAGGGGCGCATGACAGATTACGAGCCTGGCAGCAGCAACTTGGACAGGAGGACGTTCAGCTTCTGCACCGTCGGGTGCGTGCTCGCAAACTGTTGTCTCTTGGAAACGGATTCCAAGAAAGACTGCTGACGGAATCCGTGAAGAGGAGTAGCAGGAGAAGGAGCATCTGAACGAGCGGAATATGCCAACAAGCGACAACAGGGGCCCATGACAGATTACGGGCCTGGCAGCAGCATGAGGAGTCGGTACGGGGGCCCATGGCAGATTAGGGGCCTGGCAGCAGCTATGGGAGGCCCGTAATCTGCCAGCACCCTATGACAAAAAATGGAACACACCAGCAGTGTGAGGAGACCTGAAAGTGGCACATGGCAGAGTGTGGCGATGGAGACAGCAGCAATGGGAGGCCGTACAGGGACCCATGAGAGACTCTGGACTTGGCAGCAGCATGAGGAGGCTGTATAGGGGCCCATGGCAGATTAGGGGCCTGGCAGCAGCTATAGGAGGCCTGTAATCTGCCAGCACCCTATGACAAAAAATGGAACACACCAGCAGTGTGAGGAGACCTGAAAGTGGCACATGGCATGAGACACTGTGGACCTGGCAGCAGCATGAGGAGGCGGTACAGGGGCCCATGGCAGATTAGGGGCCTGGCAGCAGCTATGGGAGGCCCGTAATCTGCCAGCACCCTATGACAAAAAATGGAACACACCAGCAGTGTGAGGAGACCTGAAAGTGGCACATGGCAGAGTGTGGCGATGGAGACAGCAGCAATGGGAGGCCGTACAGGGACCCATGAGAGACTCTGGACTTCGCAGCAGCATGAGGAGGCGGTATAGGGGCCCATGGCAGATTAGGGGCCTGGCAGCAGCTATGGGAGGCCCGTAATCTGCCAGCACCCTATGACAAAAAATGGAACACACCAGCAGTGTGAGGAGACATGAAAGTGGCACATGGCAGAGTGTGGCGATGGAGACAGCAGCAATGGGAGGCCGTACAGGGGGACCCATGAGAGACTCTGGACCTGGCAGCAGCATGAGGAGGCGGTATAGGGGCCCATGGCAGATTAGGGGCCTGGCAGCAGCTATAGGAGGCCCGTAATCTGCCAGCACCCTATGACAAAAAATGGAACACACCAGCAGTGTGAGGAGACCTGAAAGTGGCACATGGCATGAGACACTGTGGACCTGGCAGCAGCATGAGGAGGCGGTACAGGGGCCCATGGCAGATTAGGGGCCTGGCAGCAGCTATGGGAGGCCCGTAATCTGCCAGCACCCTATGTCAAAAAATGGAACACACCAGCAGTGTGAGGAGACCTGAAAGTGGCACATGGCAGAGTGTGGCGATGGAGACAGCAGCAATGGGAGGCTGTACAGGGACCCATGAGAGACTCTGGACCTGGCAGCAGCATGAGGAGGCGGTACAGGGGCCCATGGCAGATTAGGGCCTGGCAGCAGCTATGGGAGGCCCGTAATCTGCCAGCACCCTATGACAAAAAATGGAACACACCAGCAGTGTGAGGAGACCTGAAAGTGGCACATGTTTTGGGGCATGATTCATGGCGGATTTAGTCAGTTGTGTCAGGAACTGGTGGTTTGAAATCCAGACTAATCCACGCCTGATTCATTTTCACAAACATGAGTCTCTCCACACTTTGGGTGGACAGTCGTGTCCTCCGCGGAGTTACAATACCTCCTGCCGCACTAAACACGCGCTCCGATGCCACGCTACTGGCCGGGCATGACAGCCTTTCAAGGGCAAATTCAGCTAGTTGGGGCCAAGGTCAAGGTTCGTTGCCAGTAGTCAAGGGGATTGTCTACCTCGGTTGGCAGGGTGCTGTCCAAGTAGGCCTAAGCCTGTTGTTTGAGGTCCTGCTCCAGGTCCACCTGATGCTGTGCTGCTGCGGCTGGTTAGTAGTTTCCTCACTGCACTGGTGAAGAAAGCTACTCATCATCGACTGCAGACTGAGGCAGCTGCTGCTGGTGGAGCTGCCACTGCTCCTACCACCCCACCCCTCCCCTGCTGTATGGCAGCGGAACGCGAGCGCACAGGGCCCACAGTGTCTGAGGATGGACGTTGGCGCAGAAAGGCAGAGACCAAGCTGACTACATAGGTGGTTTTTATAGTACGTTATTTTGGCCTCCCTTCTCAGCAGGTGTGAAAAAGGCCACCATTTTTGAACGGTAGCGAGGGTCCAACAAGGTGGACAGCCAAAAGTCCTCCCTCTGTCTGATGGTTATTATTCGGCTGTCGCTACGCAAGCAAGCGAGCATGCTATGGGCCATTTGTGCCAAGGAATGCGAGGGACTCCCTGCCTCCATCTCCACAGCATACTGCCACGGTGCGTCTGGGTCCTCTGTCTCCTCCTCCTCCTCCTCTACCAGATGCTCCTGCTCCTCCACTCCTGTCCGCTGAGTGGAAAAACCACCCCATTTCACTCAATAATTCCTGAGCACCATGTCCTCCTCTACCAGATCCTCCTCTTCTTCCTTTCCTGCCCCCACAGGGGTCATGTGGCGTTGAGATCTGTGCGCCACGTCTACCGCACCCTGACCAGCCATTGTTAACAGCATTTGTTCCAGGACGTGCAACAGAGGAATGACGTCGTTCATCCCATAGTCCTGCCGACTCACGAATAGCGTGGCCTTCTCAAAGGGCCTGAGCAAGCGCAGGTGTCACGCATGAGCTGCCAATGGCTGACATCTAAGTTACACTGGGAGTACCTTTATCCGCTTTTAACATCAGGAAATTTGTGATGGCCTTTCGCTGTTCGTAAAGGCGGTCTAACATATGTAGGGTTGAATTCCACCTTGTTGCAACGTCACAGCATGAGGAGTCGGTACGGGGGCCCATGGCAGATTAGGGCCTGGCAGCAGCAATGGGAGGCCCGTAATCTGCCAGCACCCAATGACAAAAAATGTAATACACCAGCAGTGTGAGGAGATCTGAAAGTGGCACATGGCAGAGTGTGGCGATGGAGACAGCAGCAATGGGAGGCCGTACAGGGACCCATGAGAGACTCTGGACCTGGCAGCAGCATGAGGAGGCGGTATAGGGGCCCATGGCAGATTAGGGGCCTGGCAGCAGCTATGGAAGGCCCGTAATCTGCCAGCACCCTATGTCAAAAAATGGAACACACCAGCAGTGTGTGAGGAGACCTGAAAGTGGCACATGGCAGAGTGTGGCGATGGAGACAGCAGCAATGGGAGGGCCGTACAGGGACCCATGAGAGACTCTGGACCTGGCAGCAGCATGAGGAGGCGGTATAGGGGCCCATGGCAGATTCGGGGCCTGGCAGCAGCTATAGGAGGCCCGTAATCTGCCAGCACCCTATGACAAAAAATGGAACACACCAGCAGTGTGAGGAGACCTGAAAGTGGCACATGGCATGAGACACTGTGGACCTGGCAGCAGCATGAGGAGGCGGTACAGGGGCCCATGGCAGATTAGGGGCCTGGAAGCAGCTATGGGAGGCCCGTAATCTGCCAGCACCCTATGACAAAAAATGGAACACACCAGCAGTGTGAGGAGACCTGAAAGTGGCACATGGCAGAGTGTGGCGATGGAGACAGCAGCAATGGGAGGCCGTACAGGGACCCCATGAGAGACTCTGGACTTGGCAGCAGCATGAGGAGGCGGTATAGGGGCCCATGGCAGATTAGGGGCCTGGAAGCAACTATGGGAGGCCCGTAATCTGCCAGCACCCTATGTCAAAAAAATGGAACACACCAGCAGTGTGTGAGGAGACCTGAAAGTGGCACATGGCAGAGTGTGGCGATGGAGACAGCAGCAATGGGAGGCCGTACAGGGACCCATGAGAGACTCTGGACTTGCAGCATGAGCAGCAGCAGCAAGCAAGGAGAGGCCCGTAATCTGCAAGCACCCTATAGGGGCCCATGGCAGATTAGAGGGCCTGGCAGCAGCTATGGGGGCCCCATGGCAGAAGGGGCTCTGCCAGCTGCCAGCCCTATGACAAAAAAATGGAACACACCAGCAGTGTGAGGAGACCTGAAACACATGAAAGAGGACACATGGAGACAGCAGCAATGAGGCCGTACACGGGACCCATGAGACACTCTGGACCTGTCTGCAGCAGCATGAGGAGGCGGTATAGGGGCCCATGGCAGATTAGGGGCCTGGCAGCAGCTATGGGAGGCCCGTAATCTGCCAGCACCCTAAAAAATTGACACACCAGCAGTTTGTGAGGAGACCTGAAAGTGGCAGCAGTGTGGCGATGGAGACAGCAGCAATGGGAGGCCGTACAGGGACCCATGAGAAGTGAGGAGGCATAGGGGCCATGGCATTAGAGGCCTGGCAGCAGCTGTGGGAGGCCCGTAATCTGCCAGCACCCTGACCAGCAACCTGAAAGTGGCACATGGCAGAGTGTGGCGATGGAGACAGCAGCAATGGGAGGCCGTACAGGGACCCATGAGACACTCTGGACCTGGCAGCAGCATGAGGAGGCGGTATAGGGGCCCATGGCAGATTAGGGGCCTGGCAGCAGCTATAGGGAGGCCCGTAATCTGCCAGCACCCTATGTCAAAAATTGAACACACCAGCAGTGTGTGAGGAGACCTGAAAGTGGCACATGGCAGAGTGTGGCGATGGAGACAGCAGCAATGGGAGGCCGTACAGGGACCCATGAGACACTCTGGACCTGGCAGCAGCATGAGGAGGAGGCGGTATAGGGGCCCATGGCAGATTAGGGGCCTGGCAGCAGCTATGGGAGGCCCGTAATCTGCCAGCACCCTATGTCAAAAAATTGAACACACCAGCAGTGTGTGAGGAGACCTGAAAGTGGCACATGGCAGAGTGTGGCGATGGAGACAGCAGCAATGGGAGGCTGTACAGGGACCCATGAGACACTCTGGACTTGGCAGCAGCATGAGGAGGCGGTATAGGGGCCCATGGCAGATTAGGGGCCTGGCAGCAGCTATGGGAGGCCCGTAATCTGCCAGCACCCTATGTCAAAAAATTGAACACACCAGCAGTGTGAGGAGACCTGAAAGTGGCACATGCATGTGGCGATGGAGACAGAGCACAGGGACCCATGAGACACTCTGTGGACCTGGCAGCAGCATGAGGAGGCGGTACAGGGGCCCATGGCAGATTAGGGGCCTGGCAGCAGCTATGGGAGGCCCGTAATCTGCCAGCACCCTATGTCAAAAAATTGAACACACCAGCAGTGTGTGAGGAGACCTGAAAGTGGCACATGGCAGAGTGTGGCGATGGAGACAGCAGCAATGGGAGGCCGTACAGGGACCCATGAGAGACTCTGGACTTCGCAGCAGCATGAGGAGGCGGTATAGGGGCCCATGGCAGATTAGGGGCCTGGCAGCAGCTATGGGAGGCCCGTAATCTGCCAGCACCCTATGACAAAAAATGGAACACACCAGCAGTGTGTGAGGAGACCTGAAAGTGGCACCTTGCAGAGTGTGGCGATGGAGACAACCCACCGACTGTTTTGCTCGCTGCCAAGCTGCCACCCTCTTCTCCTGATGATGCGGTAGCAATAGCCTGATGACGACGAGGCTGCCAAGTGCGATCAGCCTCATCATCATCAATTAGGGTCTGCGCCTCACTACTAGCCCCCTCGGCTGCGTGTGGGTCAGGAGACAGACCTGTCTCTAGACCGGCTACCGAGCCACTCTCCTCGCCACTACTTCTTCGCCTGGCTGCTGAAGAGGCGGATGTCTCCCCCCGTTCTTGACCGCCCTCTGTTAGCTCTTCCTCACTGTACTGGATGACACCGGGAGCACTGGCCTCTGGCTGCGAATAGTGCTGCCTCGACCCCTTCCTCTGCTGCCATGTCTGCTCGCTCCTAAAACATTGCCTCCTCTGCCACTCCTCTGCATGTTGTCTGACATACTCTTTAATTAAACGATTCTGTGTCCCTGAGTAACAATTCTGTGTCTGTCCCTGAGTAACAATTCTGTGTCCCTGAGTAACGTTTCTGTGGCCCTAAGTAACAGTTCTGTGGCCCTCAGTAACAGTTCTGTGTCCCTCAGTAACAATTCTGTGTCCCTCAGTAACAATTCTGTGTCTGTCCCTGAGTAACAATTCTGTGTCCCTCAGTAACAATTCTGTGTCCCTCAGTAACAATTCTGTGTCCCTGAGTAACAATTCTGTGTCTGTCCCTGAGTAAACAATTCTGTGTCCCTGAGTAACGTTTCTGTGGCCCTAAGTAACAGTTCTGTGGCCCTCAGTAACAATTCTGTGGCCCTCAGTAACAATTCTGTGTCTGTCCCTGAGTAACAATTCTGTGTCCCTCAGTAACAATTCTGTGTCCCTCAGTAACAATTCTGTGTCCCTCAGTAACAATTCTGTGTCCCTCAGTAACAATTCTGTGTCCCTCAGTAACAATTCTGTGTCCCTCAGTAACAATTCTGTGTCTGTCCCTGAGTAACAATTCTGTGTCTGTCCCTGAGTAACAATTCTGTGTCTGTCCCTGAGTAACAATTCTGTGTCTGTCCCTGAGTAACAATTCTGTGTCCCTGTCCCTGAGTAACAATTCTGTGTCCCTGAGTAACAATTCTGTGTCCCTGAGTAACAATTCTGTGTCCCTGAGTAACAATTCTGTGTCCCTCAGTAACAATTCTGTGTCCCTCAGTAACAATTCTGTGTCTGTCCCTGAGTAACAATTCTGTGTCTGTCCCTGAGTAACAATTCTGTGTCTGTCCCTGAGTAACAATTCTGTGTCTGTCCCTGAGTAACAATTCTGTGTCTGTCCCTGAGTAACAATTCTGTGTCCCTGAGTAACAATTCTGTGTCCCTGAGTAACAATTCTGTGTCCCTGAGTAACAATTCTGTGTCCCTGAGTAACAATTCTGTGTCCCTCAGTAACAATTCTGTGTCCCTCAGTAACAATTCTGTGTCCCTGAGTAACAATTCTGTGTCTGTCCCTGAGTAACAATTCTGTGTCCCTAAGTAACGTTTCTGTGGCCCTAAGTAACGTTTCTGTGGCCCTAAGTAACGATTCTGTGGCCCTCAGTAACAATTCTGTATCCCTCAGTAACAATTCTGTGTCTGTCCCTGAGTAACAATTCTGTGTCCCTAAGTAACGTTTCTGTGGCCCTAACTAACGATTCTGTGGCCCTAAGTAACGTTTCTGTGGCCCTAAGTAACGTTTCTGTGGCCCTAAGTAACGTTTCTGTGGCCCTCAGTAACAATTCTGTGTCTGTCCCTAAGTAACAATTCTGTGGCCCTAAGTAACGGTTCTGTGGCCCTAAGTAACGGTTCTGTGGCCCTCACTAACAATTCTGTGTCCCTCAATAACAATTCTGTGTCTGTCCCTAAGTAACAATTCTGTGGCCCTAAGTAACGTTTCTGTGGCCCTAAGTAACGTTTCTGTGGCCCTAAGTAACGATTCTGTGGCCCTAAGTAACGATTCTGTGGCCTAAGTAACGATTCTGTGGCCCTCAGTAACAAATCTGTGTCCCTCAGTAACAATTCTGTGTCTGTCCCTAAGTAACGATTCTGTGGCCCTCAGTAACAAATCTGTGTCCCTCAGTAACAATTCTGTGTTTGTCCCTAAGTAACAATTCTGTGGCCCTAAGTAACATTTCTGTGGCCCTAAGTAACGATTCTGTGGCCCTAAGTAACGATTCTGTGGCCCTCAGTAACAATTTTGTATCCCTCAGTAACAATTCTGTCTGTCCCTGAGTAACAATTCTGTGTCCCTAAGTAACGTTTCTGTGGCCCTAACTAACGATTCTGTGGCCCTGAGTAACGTTTCTGTGGCCCTAAGTAACGTTTCTGTGGCCCTAAGTAACGATTCTGTGGCCCCAACTAACGTTTCTGTGTCCCTAAGTAACGTTTCTCTGTCCCTAACTCTCTCCCTGAATACAGCCAGGTCTGCCTCTGTTGAATGACTGGAGGCAAATGGAGAATTCTAAAATGGCCGCCATTTATAGCTCGACCATTACACTGTGCTGGCTGGCTGGCTGCTGATTGGCTAATGCAATCACATGTCATGAATGAATGCATTATGGGTCAGCGCGCCTTGTCTGCGCGCCTTCCCAGACATCCCCGCTCCGTCGCCGCACATGTCGCCGCCATTTTAGGAAAAATTTCGATTCGCGCATCTGAAGTCTGCTTATTTTCGGATTCGACGCGAATCGAAATTTTCCTAATATTCGAAATGAATTCCACTTCGCCTACTTCGATTCGCTCATCTCTAGTTATAATAAATGGTTTCATATGATCATTATCCTTAATTAAATTAAAACGGTGTTTTGGCATGATCAGTCATATTTTCTATAGCAATACCAAAATTTCATGACTTCTACCAGGCTATGCAAACTTTTGAGCACAACAGTATGAGATTTGTTCATTGGCTCTTGTGACTTTGTCTTTTCAGATTCCCAAACCCAATATACTGTTTAACTGGGTTAATGTTTAGACAATAACAATTAACAAAAGTCTAAATGACAACTACCCTAACACAAAATAGACTCCTTCAATGCTAAAGATTGTGAATTCAAGGCAACAACTTGTTGTATTTTAGCAAACAAGATTAGGCTCCTAAAATATTCACCAATATTTAATTGCCAGCTAAAAAAAACACACCTGGACTAATTAAAAAAGGAAACATATTCTTTTGATGCAGATAACTAGTCAGATCCCAGCTGTTGTTTATTCCAGTGCAATCTGAAAACAAACACCAACACTAATGTGAATGTCCTGGGCAACAGAAAGGGGCATTTGTCAATTCTATGACACACTAAACAGGAAAAGCGATTACCATTTTTAAAGACTGCAACTTGCATTGAAACACAATAAAACCCGACTCTGACCATTTCATAATTGTGTTTGAGTGAAAACCTGTCTCATCCACAGTGCCAAGTCTGTTTCATGCCTTTGTAAAATTGCCCTCAGCTGGCTGCCAAGAACTCCAGATACAGGTGTCACAGAATACACAAAACTTTGTTGCATACACTGATAAATGAGAAACAACCTGTATTGCATCTAAGTTTGTTGCTAATTTCTTATAGTTCAGCTACAATCTGGAAGAGTGTACTTGAGAATAATGTAACTATGTTACAGCTTTATCTAAACAGCTAAGAAAAATAGAGTTTTAATAATATGTTATGAACTAATTAGATGTGATTACTAAAACAATTAAATCGGTTCTATAAATTTTAATATGTCTATGCAAATATCACAGCATAGTATAGATGATTATAAAAAGAAATTACAAAGACAAGGGGAAAACATCATTAACTTGAACAGCACCCAAGCTAGCTGCTAGAAATATGGAACACAAAGCCTTTGACGCAAATACTCTCGTTTATTGAAGCTCATAATTCTCACCATGCAAAACATCATAATTAATACCATCTCATTTGTGACCTTTGGACCCCCAAATGTCATTTGTATAAAGCAGTCAACTAAGTACAAAAAACTAGATATTGTATAATAGAAGAATGGAAACAAACATAAGACAGCTGATGTTAGAGT